CTTGTGTGGGTTTTCTCCAGGTACTCCGGTTTCCACCACCCAACAAAACATGTACAATAGGTCACCTTCAGGCTCAGGCCTCCCTTGATAAAGAGATCTGAGATCTCAATGGGACTTGCCTGGTTAAATAATGGTAAATAAAAAATAATAAATAAAATGCTTAAATAGAAATTCATTCAATCAAGAATTATTTGAAATAATTTATTTCACATGTAAATAAATTGACCAGTTGAGAGGTTAACAGTAAAAAAAAGATATTTTACTAAACATGAGATTAAAAACTTGTACACTAACCCGAACAAAACCAGTCTTGTTTTTATTATAACCAGAAAATGTTGTTCTAGCCCAGAGGTGTCCAGTGCTGGTCCTTAAGGGGCCGCTAATATCCTGCTTGTTTTACTTGTTTCGCTGCTTCAATKCTCATAATTTGAACGAAGCAGGCTCCTGCAGAACTTGAAGAGAAACAAGTAAAACATGCTGGATAGTGGACCTGGAGGACCAGGACTGGACCCCCTTGTTCTAGACAGATTTATGTGTATATTCATTGTTTTGTCTGGAGGAACATCTTCCAGTGTGAATCAGAGAAAAAGTCCAAACCTTGTTCTTCTCCACGTTTGTAAATCTAATTGATGAAAAATCTCTTGGAAATGTGTTTTAGAAGGAATGCTGCCCCCTGCTGATCAAATACTGAGTGTAAGAGGTTTACAGGTGTTTATAGTCTTGCCCTCAAACTTTTACTGTAAATTGAAAAATTAAAACATAATTAGATGGAAATTGTTGGACTGGTTTGACTGAATTTATGAGTGAGCTCTTTCTTTAGAGATGCTTTTATTTCATTTCTGGTTTTTATGGTCCACATAAAAACCAATCAGCCTAGTGAGACTAGTCAAGCTTAATCTTTATTAAAGTTTTTCTTTGTAAGCAGCCTCTTTTCTTTAGCTGCAAGTTGCTGATATTTAGTTTCAGTGTCGAGGACAACTTTCAATTCTCCCTTTTTATTATTCCAAAAGTTTATTTGTGGAGCTAAAAATGTACAATGAATGAATTCTTTCAAAAGATGTATTTTTTTTGTTTGTTTGTATTTTCACAGATGTTAAAGTGAGTTTACACATGAGTGGTAATTGTTTTTCTCACCAGTGTTCGTGTTTTATTTCTTTAGTCAAAGAGAAGCCGGTCCAGTCCACTGAATCCTCGTCTAAACTTGAGAGTCCAGACTATGTAGTGTGAGTTTTTAATTCCCTCAACACTTCCTGTTGTTTGGTCAAAGTTTAAAAAAAAAGTGTACTCAGAAGAAGTGTTTTTGTTTGTTTGCAGGAAGTACACGCCCCTCGTGTCTGTTGACCAGAGACAGAACTACAAGGATGACTTCAACGCAGAGTACGACGAGTATCGCCAGCTGCACGCCCATGTGGAGAGCATCACCCGCCGCTTTACCCAGCTCGATGCTCAGTGCCGGAAGCTGACACCCGGCACCAAGGAACACCAGGTCACTGACTTTTTTAATGAGACGAATAAGTGTTGACAGGCACGTAACAAAAGATAAAACGTTTATAGTCTCTGCATTCCTGATCCATAATTAGTACACTCCTGGTCAGTAACGGCTCCTGAGMATAAATAGTGGGGTCACTATCACTAGAAACACTAATGTTACAATTTGTTGCACTCTATTTGTGTAGAGATGGAAGTTACTTTCTTATGCAGTTATTTGTGCACAAAATTGTCCTATTTTTTTTCTCCCTCTCCACTGATTGGGTCTTGTGAAAAAAGTCCGGTCTAATAATTAAATCACAGAAGCACTCCTACACCCACCTGAAAATATATTTTATTTTAATCGTTCATAAAACAAATGAGACAGGTACACAACTTTCTGGATTGGATTTCTCATTTAATTTTGAGTAATAACTCTGCAATAATAATCCAGATTACAGAAGGTAACTTGCAGGGGGCATCTTGTAAAGTAACTCTAAATATTAAATAAAAACAAAAACATTGCAGTATGCATCTTAACTGCTGCTCTATATTAGCACAGAGCTAGCACAGTAATTCACACACAGTCAGTACAGATTTGGTTATAATCGGTTCTACCTTCTTGGCTAAAAAGTCCCGTTTTAACATTTTTGTTTTTCTCTACAGAAAGTGCAAGAAGAAGTCTTGAAAGAGTACAAAAAGATGAAACAAGTGAGTGTCTGCACAGGCTGTGATACTTGTGTACATGTACACAACCATACACATTAGCTTAGTTCATGGCTTCTGATCTTAACCATGCAACCTGTGTCCTTTTTATATCAGCTTTAATTTAAATGAGATTTATAATAACAAAACAATAGAACAAAGTATCTGTCTAGAGTGGTGCATTGTGGGAATGACCTGGTAAAGTCTGATTTGTCTGGATCTGTGTCGGGTTCTTGCAGCACAACCCCAGCTACCACGAGGAGAAGCAGCGCTGCGAATACCTGCACAACAAACTGGCCCACATCAAGCGCCTGATCGCTGACTTTGACCAGCGCCGAGCCCAGGCCTGGTGCTGAGAGAGCCGCACCGCCGAGCAGTATTGTCAAACCCCGCTCTTATTTATTATAACATCTCTTTCATTTCCTGCCTTCTCAAACGCTTTCTCGTCATCCTTCATTCCCTCCTTCTTGGTTTTGATTCCACGGGCGTCTTTACTGCCTGAAATGTTGAAAGTCTCTCTGACTTTAGTACCCATTTTTTTTTTTTTTTTTTTTTTTTTAATTCTCCTCCTGTGGAACTCGTTACCACCGGATCGACTTGCATGAGCGACGAGACGTGTGGAGAAAAAAAAACTTCAACTCTAACTTTGTGAAGGACACTCGCTTAAGAGAAAAGTATTTTTGAGCATCAGAGAAAATATTACCTTGTATTTAACTAAAAAAAAAGAGGGAGATCTATTTATTTTGAGATTCGTAGTGGAAAGAAGAGTTAGCAGATGATATATTTGATTTTCTTTTTTCTTTTTCTTGAACAATGCAACATGTATTACCACAGGCCTTATGTGTTGAATTTGTGAAGCCATTTTGCACACAACCCTCTCTACAACTTCTCAAGATCTCCCCGCTGCCTCACATCCTCTCTCTCTCTTGTTTTTGTTCCCTTTTTTTTTTCCAAAACACGACTGTACTGGAAAGCCTGAGTGGAGAGAGAGGAAGTGAGACCCTGAGGAGAAAACCACCCGAGAAGCAGCAGCACGTGTGCGCCGGGTGATGAATTTCAGTTGTGATGACCACAAAGGGGGGCATTGAGAACAGGAGGACGATCCCTGTGTCACCCGTGGGTGGGGAGGGCCAACGTGTGTAAATTTCTTAAAGCCTTACGGCGTTTACTTTATGAAAAATTAATAATAACGATAATAATAAAAAAATGAGCTGGGCCTGCCCCAAGAGTCCACACACACTATGCAAAGGAACTGCAACTGCCTGGAAACCTTGTTTGTGTGTGTGTTTAATGTTGGAGGAAGGAGTGTTACAAATTGTTTGTATGGTTGAGTAACAGGAGAAGTAAGAACAACACAAAACAAACAACAAAAAAAATAAAAAAAACGCTGCTATGATGTGTGAGCAGCCAGGACCAGGATCCACCTGGCTGCAGAGACAGAACCAGATCTTTTAAAGAAGAGATGCAAAGGATCCAGTTTTTTTTTTCACAGTGGTTCTGTGAAGAAGAACCCCCCTCACTCCCCCCCTCCTCCTTTGTTATGAGCCTGTTTCAGTTTAAAAAATATTTAAAAAAAGAAGAAAAAATAAAAAGAGGAAGCCACTGTCACATCCACCAATGGACCCATCTGTACTGTGATGTTCTCGATTCTTAGTTTGACTTCCAGAAAGCAGCGCGAGAGTTTTTCTTTTCTTTTTGTTTTCACGGATTGATAGATGGCTTCTTTTCTGTTCTTTATTTCAGCAAGGGAAGAAAAAAAAAGTTGTTTACAAACTTGTGTTAGGATATGTTTGCCAAATATTAAATGCCTTTCTGGTCCTGCTTCCATGGAGTAAAGTTTCTGAAAGGAGACGTGAATACTAACAAATGAGTCGCATCGAGGAGAACTATCGCTCCTCTTTCACAAATATCAGCCTCTCAAAGAATAATCTTTGAATATTAAGAGTCTGACTTGTACTGGAGAACATCTGACGCTGTTCTCCCCTTAAATGGAGACTTTAAAATCAGTTTTCTGCTGTCAGCACGTCAGTCTCTGCAGTAGACTGGCTGTTGAGGCTCAAAGAAAACAGAAAATCAGCAGCTGATAAATGTTTTGCTTTATTAAATTATTTACAGTTTTGAGCTACAAAGGGCCTGTAGCCTCCACAGCATTCCAACAGTTTCTGTCCTAACCAGATGTGCTCTGGAGTTTAGTTGGAACAGCACGGGATGGAAAGAAACCGTGATTAAACGGAGAGAAGGGGGCGTTTGTTGAGTCGTAACGATGAAGCTGATAAAAGCCCAATCAGACAAGAAACTACAGGAAATCAAGTGAATCTGGGCTGTGATGTCACCCCGCCCACCTGGAAATGTACACATTTCAATGAAAATAAACTTTAGTTGATCTGGAAAGTGTGAGACTGTCTTTTTCTTTTTTTTTTTTTTTTTTTGAAAATTCAAGATGGCCACCACAGCTAATTTTAAATGGCTTTAATTAATCTGTTATAAGAAATACTAAGATGAAATATGTGATAGTTACAAGGGCAGATGAAAAAAGAGGAGCAAATGTGCGAGGGGGAAAAAAATCTGAATTTCGGAGATTAATTTCAGAAATTTGAGAAAAAACAATTCTTTTATGTTGAAAAAAAAACTCAGAAATTTCCGTAATTAAAGGCAGAAATTTGCAACATTTAATCTAAATATTTTCTGACATGATGAAAAAAAAAACTCAGAAATTTCCGTAATTAAAGGCAGAAATTTGCAACATTTAATCTAAATATTTTCTGACATGATAAAGTCAGAAATTTACAAGAAAAAAAACTTGTAAATGAGAAAATAAAACAACCTGTTTTCACTACCATTTTTCAATTGCTCCAATTTAAAAACTAACAACAGACTTCGAACGTGGACTAAATTATTCTACATTGTCTCTAGAATATTTAAAACCAAGTGTGTGATTTGTGAAACATATATTTGATATGTGTAGCTTCAGTATATGGTGATTTCAGCACTTTTTGTGTGTTTTATGAACAAACTGTGCAGGTGGCCCTAATACACTGTTGTGAATCGTAGCTAAGAATAAAAAAAAAAAGCTAGTCACAACTTTTTCAGCCATTTTAGACAAAGCAGAAGATTTGTGTAGAAGTTGCCAAAAACTTTTATTACCTAATTCTAAATGCTAATAAATGTACAATGACCACCACAGCTAACTTTAAAAGCCTTTCATTTGACCTTTAAAGACTTATTGATGAAATTTGTTRTGGAGGATGATCACATGTTTATTGTTGATGCATATCCTACACAAATGCTAATTTTACAAAGGGCTATAGTTCAGCTATCTTTAAACATACTCAGCTAAAACTATTATTGTACAGTAGTATTAAAACAGCCTTTGACGAAATCTAAATATAAAAATATTTATTTAAAAAAATCCAAAATTACCAATATCATACATACATTCAGTATATAACAT